AAGGGGGAGGGATAGAGAGTTAGAAACATCAATGAGAGAGAAATATCGATCAGCTGCCTCTTGCACACACCCTCCTGGGGATGTGCCCGCAACCAAGGTATATGCCCTTGACCAGAATCGAACCTGGGACCCTTCAGTCCGCAGGCCGACGCTCTATCCACTGAGCCAAACCGGTTAGGGCCAAAGATATTCTTAAGTGAAACTGATTTTTTTTTTTACTGTGGGTGCATGGCAATGAAGAATATAATGACTTCCCGTATAATTTGATAACACTGACTTAAGCTATTCTAAGGAAGGCACCAGCAGTTTCATGCACCATTGTTCTTGTACCATCAGAGCAAATGTCAACACAATGAAAAAGGCAAAAACATTTGGCTCTATTATGAAAATATATGGCCTAACAGACCCCAAAAGAGGTTTCAGGCTCTCAGAGGTCTATGTATTCCACTTTGAGAACTGGTGCTTTAACCTCAAAGTGCTCAGCTTACCTTAAGAGGTCACCTGCCAGCTGCATTTAGAAAGGCAGCATCTATATATATATAAAAGGCGAATGTGCAAAGTGTCCCCTCAGGAGTTGGACCGAGAGACTGGGAGTTCAATCGCTCGCTATGATGTGCACTGACCACCAGGGGGCGGCGCAGAATGAGGGAAGGAAGGGCCCAGCTGGCAGCCAGAGGCCCCCATCGGCCCTGATCGCTGGCCAGGCCTAGGGACCCTACCCGTGCACAAGTTTCGTGCACCGGGCCTCTAATGGTAAAAGAACAGAATGGAGATTTGGTATCAAAAAGATCTGGTTTCAAATCTCAATACTCCCCCATACTAACTGTGTTACTAGTTAGTATATCTAAGGTTCTTATTCTAAACTCTCAGTTTAACTTTCCCCTATAATAATGGGGAAATTATATACACACAGACACATACTCCAACTTGAGAGGAGGAAAAAAATGACCTGCCTTGCATGCAAATGCCAGCAGTTTAAAATGTCTATGACTTAAGGTAGGTTTTTAAATTTTGTTTGACAATATCCATTATTAGCAAAAGTATGCAAAAATGGATTCTCTGGTGAGGTTGCAAATTTATACATTCTGAAGAACAATTTGATAATATGAATCAAAATCAGGCTTAACCTTTAACTCAGCAATTCTGCTTCTAGCAACCTACTGAAAAAAATTAAGAAATAGGGATGTTCATCACAATGTCATATATAACAGCAATAGGTCGAAAACAATCTAGATATTTAAAATGAAATATGTAAAAAAAAAATGATGGCTTAGCAAGGTACCAGATATGGTTAGAAATACATCTCTGCTATTTGCAGCTGTGTGACCCTGGACCAGTAACTTAACCTATCTGTTTCTCACTTGTGTCATCTGTAAATTACCTGACATGGTAACAGTGAAGATAAAATAAAATGAAAGAAAAAAAGTCCTAACATTTAGGAAATCCCTCAGTGCAAGATAGCTGCGACTAGTAATAGAATACCAGGCAATTAGCAATTATTAAAGTTATATATTTACACATGTTGACAAAGAAGCAAATCATAAACTATTAAGGAAAAACATAGGGTATATAACTTAATGTGTGGTATAATCCTATTCTTGTAAAATAAAAATGTGTGTTTATACCTACATGGAGAAAGAAGTCTTAAAAGATATACAGAAAATGGTTAATGTGTTCCTTCTGGGTAATGGAATTGAGTGGTTTTTAAATTATTTAACAATGGATTTTATCATGGAAATGTGTTACTTTTGTAAAAATTTAAAAGTCTATGAAAATTTTAAACATTACCGATTACCCAATCATGATACGGTATTTTCAAATTTTACAGAAGTTTGCTTGAATTTGGACTTCAGCTTTCTTGCTCCTTCCTCAGACAGGGAGATGGGAAACTATTCTTAAGATGTTACCACGTTCTTAGGGAATTACTAGACGACAACTCGCATATCAAAAAAGCTAATACCAAAGACATAACACCCAAGTTAAAATAAGAAATCTATCCTACCTTCAGGAAATCCAGGTCCTCTTTGTGCCTGTAGAAAGGGTCGTACTCTTTTGGGTCATAATGCTCTATGAATGCACTTCCCTACGGGAAGGAAATAAGCCACACATAAGAACAAGAGGTGCACAATTCATTCTGAGCATAGCAGGACTCAAGAGTCAAAACACAAACCCATTTTAATGCTTCTGAATGGCATCAGTAACAAGTGCAAAAGGGAAGGGAAGACCAGATTCTAAGTTAAATTTAATGTATCCAAGTAATAAACACTATAGTGATAGGCAGAATTTACTTAAAATTTGTAAGATTTTAATAAAGAATTTTGGAACCCTAAAAGATTTGGGAATTTGTTTCTTAATGCCTACTAGTCAAATATCTCAGATCTCTTAAAAATGCCAAGAGACCATAAATATCTATAGCTTTGTAAGTAATAGAATTCCAGAAAAAAATAAATATATATGTTCTGAACCTAGAGTTCAAAATTTTTTAATTGGTGTATAAAATTAACAATTACCTGAGTACAACAAAGACAACTGATTCTGATGTACACATTTAAATCCAGAACTAACCCTCCTCCTCCATCTGTTCCACATACCCTGGATTTAAGAGTAGTGTGTGCTGTAATAAAATATAAATTACTCATATATAGAGTGGGGAGGGGCAGGCTGTCTGAATGATTATAAATAAAGATAACCATCATTTTTAAACCAACTGGGGAGTGTCAAATGATCTCTTAATACCTTTTTATTTACGTATTTTAAGAAGGTATCTAATTCCTGGTGTCTCCTTTTTTTAATCTTCTTATGTGAACAAACTTTCTCCATGATTTTCTTCTGGAGAGGACCTGCCACATGGTCAACCCATCTTTTGTATAACATCTCTTTTCTTCTTGTATTTAAGAAGTCATGATGCTGTAAATACTTTTCTAATTCCTAGTAAACAGGGGTGTAAGAGATAAACATGTTATCTGAAATCTTTCTTGTCCTAAAATTTAAACTTAATTTCTATTCCTAAGAATAGCCCACAAAGTCACTCATTAATCCAGTCATTTACTTGGCTTCTACTGTGTGACCCACACTACAGTGGGAAAAGGAATAATGGATAAATTAGACAACATGCCAGCTGTCCACGGAGAGACACACTACAAAACAAAGCCACAAAACAACTTGGAGGGACAATATAGCAAGATATATTTTTTTTTCCAAAAAACTATCTAGACATGCTTTGAATAATTGTAAAGGTAGTGTTTATTAAAATACATTTCATTTTCAAAATTAAGCTATCAGCTGTTAACGTGTGTATACATTTTTTGGGACACCATGTATATGTAGTTAAAAACAGGGACCCAAACAGATACTTGTATAGCAGTGTTCACTGCAGCATTATTCACAACAGCCAAAAGGTAGGATGGAAGCAAAGCAAGTGCCCATCAACAGGTGAATGTATCAACAAAACATGGCATCTACATACAATGGAATAATACACAGCTACAAAAAGGGGAGGGAGTTCTGAGACCTGCTACCACATAAAGGAACCTTGAAAACAATATGCTAAGTGAAATAAGCCATAAAAGGACCAATAATGTAGGACTCCACTTATGTAAAATATCTAGACTAGGCAAACTGATAGAGACAGAAAGTGAATTAGAGGTCAGCAGAGGTTTGGGGAGGGAAGGAAGGAGAGTTATTATTTAATGAGGACAAAGTTTCTGATAGGGTGATGAGAGTTTTGGAAATAGATAGTGGTGATGGCTGCACAAGTAAATGTGAGTTTACTGAATTGTACACTTAAAATGGTTTAGAAATAGCAAATTTTATGCTATGTATATTTTACCACAATGGAAAAAATATTTTTAAGATTTTTAAATATTCCCAAAGTGAGAGGCATTTCAGATGGGCCTTAAAGAATGAAGAGTTATCTAGGAAGAGAAGAGATGACAGAGAAAGTGGAAGAAGAATATTCCATGGGGAAAAAGAGATAAAGCAGAGAGACAGGAGTCTAGCACAGCCTAGTCCAAATGGCCTGCGAAGAAAATGCCTGGTTTAGGCTATAAACTCAATCATTCTCACAAAACTTGTTTTTATCGAGCCAATGAAATCATGTAATTATTGGGATCAACAACATAACATTTAAAGTGTGTGGGGTGGGGGGGAAGCCCTGAAAGCTTCCTACTTTGTAGGGATTACCCCTTCCAAACTTCAGGTCATAGCACAACCATCCCTTTTTAAACAACTCTGAAGAAAACCCTTAAAAACAAAACTGGGTTACCTATCCCAGTGTTTAGTGGACGTTCACATGGACATTCACCTTGTCTTATAATTAAACCCGTCCTGCTATAGTTCAAGCCTTGTTCTTACCTAGGTTTACATGAGTAATTCTTGGTTGCTGTGTACCAATAACAGCTCTTAAAGCTCTTACCAATACATAGTGACTCCATCAAAGCCCCACTAAGATGAAGGAACAAGTGAGAAGGTACCTGTGAAAGAATCCCCACAAAGTATAGGAAAAGAGGAAGTCAATTAAAGCAACCTCAGAGGCCCCTTAAGTTTAATCCCAGGGGCCAATGAGTGTTTTTTAATTTTATTTTTTAAAACTTGTATAATGATGATGAACTACATGTAAAATGAGAAAAAAAATTAAAAATATTTTTATTGATTTCAGAGAGGAAGGGAGGGAGAGAAAGAGATAGAAACATCAATGATGGGAAAGAATCATCGATGGGCTTCCCCCTGCATGCCCCACACTGGGGATCGAGCCTGCAACTCAGGCATGTGCCCTGACCTGGAATTGAACCATGACCTCCTGGTTCATAGGTAGACGCTCAACTACTGAGCCACGCCAGCCGGGCAAGAAAGAAAATTAATTGAAACATTCTATAGTTAATTCTTACCTTATTTATGTAATTTTCTCTATATAATATTGATTTAATAGCTGCATTAATATCCTCTCTGGCAAATGCCTAAAATGACAATGAAATTTTGAAAGTCAAATCTCAAAAAACAAAGTGTTAATACTATTGTGACTTATATTTTACATGACAGACATATCTCTGGAAAATTCTCTGTAAATCCAGTTTTTATACCTAACACGATATCATAAAGTACTATTTAAAGAGTATTTGAATCTTTCTGGTTTCAGCTAAACTCATTCTAGGGCAAAAAAAAAAAAATTAACTATAATGACAGAAAGCAAATCTGAGATTGTCTTGATGGCTGGCAGGGAGGGAGGGATTGCCAAGGACACAATGAAGAAACTTCGGGAATATTGACTGTTCGTTACTTTAATTGTGGTGATGGTTTCGTGTGGACATACATGTTAAAAGTGTATCAGACTGTACACTTTAAACATATGCAATGGATTGTATGTATATCACTTATACCTTTATAAAGCTGTTTAGAAAAAATAACAATCTTAAAAAACACACAATATGTATAAATTGTGTGCTTCAAGAGAAACTCTGTAACTTTGCTATATTAGAAAAGGTATATAAGCCATGACCCATGATTCCACCTTGAAGAAGCTGGAAAACCAAGAGCAAACACAACGGTAGTAAACAGGAGAGAGTAAAACAGAAAACATAGAAAAAATATTACATTTCACACAAGCCAGTTCTCAGTGCAACTACCCAAGTATAAACTTGCAGGCGCTGCACCCTATACCTCCACGAAAGGAAGTGGCTGCGGTTCCAACCATTCTTTTGAGCTCTTGAGTCTGGGAGGCTTCTCAGCGAGCAGATCTTCGCTGTCTACACTATTCATGGTGGTTCCCAAATAGCAGAGCCCCTGGAAAAACTAAAACGTTAGCTTATCTAGTAACGACAAGTCCCCATCTCATCCTCTTCTGTTGAATGAATCGTCAAGGCTTGTGACCACCGACGGGCAGGAGCGGATTCGGAACATGAGCGCTCCATCCACACTGTCCCTGGCAAGGGCCTGCGCCGTGGCTTCGGATCACGTCCCCAGAACCAGGGCGGTTCCCTCTGCCCGGACCCGCGTCCCCCTGAACTCCAGGCTTCCCACCTACCCCGACCACACAGCCCCTTAGCAACAGTGTGGCAACCGAAGCCTGGCTGCTAGGAGTCCTACCGCCGCAGTTCTCTGACCCAAGGCCCCGAGTTGCAACCTTCTGGCTACTGGAGCGCACAGCGGCCGGGCTGCCTGGAGAATCGAGGGGCTTTCGGACAAACACGTGCTTGTCCCCAGGGCCCCGCCTCCAGGACCGTGTCTCTGGGGGACGCTGCCTTAGGGCTCGCGCGGTAAACCTCCGGCACCGGGGCTGCGACCCTGCCCTCCCGGCGTCAGCGGGTGCGTGCGACCTCCGCCCGCCTGGCTCAGCAGGACCTTCGGCGCCCCCTCCCGAGACCGGCAGGACCTTCGGCGCCCCTGCCCCGCGCGGGGTCGGCCCGACCAACCACGGCCGGGAGGCCGCGGCGCCTGAAGGGTGAGCCCGCGAAGAGAAAGGACGTTTCGGCGTCGGCGTCTCGGGTCGCCGTGGCAACGACCAATCGGCGCGGCGCGGAAACGCACGAAAGACCCGGACGCCGCGGGCCGCCGGCTCCCGAGCCACAGGCACTGCCGCGCGAACCCTGTGCAGCTGCGGTGCCGGGGCCCAGTCGGGAGGGGGAGAACCCTGGGAGCCCGACGGGCGGACCCCAGGAGCCGGGGCGGGGGGGGGGGGGGTGTTGGTTCTGGTTTGAGACCCGAGTAGGAGCGCTTCTCGGTTACGGGCAGCTGTCGCCGCCAGGAGCTGGCACGTGGCCTCCCGCCCCGCCTGCCCCCGCGTCCGTGGTGTGTAAAAATTACATGAAATGGAAATTTCAGTGTCCATAGATAAAGTTTCATTGAGCACCACCCCATGCACCAGGGGGTCGCAGGTTAGATTCCCGGTCGGGCACGTGCCCAGGTTGCTGGCTGGATCCTCAGTGGCGGTATGTAGGAGGCAGCTGATGGATGTTGCTCTCATCGGTGTTTCTCTCTCTCTCTCCCTCCCCCTTCCTCTCTCTGAAATAAATAATAACATATTTAAAGTTTTATTGGAATATAGTCATACCTATTCTTTCATGTATTGTCCATGGCTGCTTCCCACTACAACCGCAGGTGATGCCCAGTGATGTCCAAACACGTGTGAATGGATTCGCCACGAACCCTCTGCAAGCCAGAAGGACTGTATTTCAAGGGAAAGGACCACGAATGTCCGGCAGGTGATTGTCCTCTTTATGCTAAGTATTGAAGGTTTGAAGAACCTTAAGAAAAGAATTTGATTTCAGTTTTCTGTGTCTCTTCTGATCCTGACTGTACAACAGACTTAGCCCATTATTGCAATGGCAGTGTTTGCAATGTCTGAGATGGCGGGCTAGTGCCAAAGAAAGCACTATCAGAGAGCCCGGTTTGGGGAAATGTTTGTTCCTGAATCTCTCAACTAAACCTGCCTGAATTGCCTCTCTCCACTACAGTCCATCCTTCATATTCTACATCCTCCTTCACACACACACAAAAGGGCCCTAGCTGAGCGGCTCAGTTGGTTGGAGCATCGCCCCATACGCCAAAAAGGTTGTGGCTTCAATCCCCAGTCGGGGCAACTGATCAATGTTTCTCTCTCTCATTCGGTGAGTGTATGTGTGTGTCTTCCTCTGGCTCTCTCTCCCTTCCTCTGTCTAAAACAAGTAAAAAACATATCCTCAGGTGAGGATAAAAAAACATGATATCACCCTGTGCTCAAAGCCTCTAGACTTTCTGTTGCCTATAAGGATTTAAGGAGATGAATGAAATCACACTTACTGGAAGCCCCAATTATAACTAGGCACGCTTCCTCCACATTATAAACTAAGTAGCTTCATTTTACGGACGAGGAAACTGAGGCTAAGAAAGATCAAATAACTCTTCCACAGTCATGCAGCAGAAAACAGAGGTGTTGGGATTCAAGTCCAGAGCTGTCCCCATTGGGATAGGGATATATTACAATCAATTGGGGAACTTGTTCAAAATACCCATGCTGTCCTGACAACAGTCTGAAACTTTGTGAGCAAAGACAACTAAATTAGTGGAACAAAGTCCAAAAACAAATGTATGAACATACGGCAGCCAGGAAATGGTGAAAAACATGGCTGGAGCGTAACTGCTTGTCCTGTGATTAGAATAAGAGAAGGACATTCCATGTTATTCTTACCCAGGAAAACACGGGAGTGGTTGCTGTGAAGACCGATCTGCATGTATCTTCTGGTGGCGCCGTACCCCGAGGGCATGCATCCTGGTGTCTGTGTGGAAGCCACAGCGAAGCTGGGTAAGTGTGCCCCCAGCGCTGGTTTGGTTCCCTATGGGAGTGGCGTCTTCTGACTGCAAGTGACAGAGACCAAGTCAGCTGGGACGGAAAGTCAGACTTGATTGGGAGGAGACTGGAGATACTTACAGAACCTCTGGAAGGATGGGGTCCAGCTGAGCCCGAGGGAAGGCGGATTCCAGGGACGGTAACGCTGGTGGAACTTCTCCCTGGTCTCTCCTGAGAGGGTCAGGTTTGTTCTCTCCCATTCCACTGCCTCCTTTCCTGGCTTGTATCATGGCCAAGGCTCACATTCTACCTCTTGGTTTCTTTTAAGACCCTGATTTGACCCATCTTGGATCATATGGTTTAGCCCAGCCGTGGGCAAACTACGGCCCGTGGGCCGGATCCAGCCCATTTGAAATGAATAAAACTAAAAAAAAAAAAGACCATACCCTTTTATGTAATGATGTTTACTTTGAATTTATATTAGTTCACACAAACACTCCATCCATGCTTTTGTTCCGGCCCTCCGGTCCAGTTTAAGAACCCATTGTGGCCCTCGAGTCAAAAAGTTTGCCCACCCCTGGTTTAGCCTTATATCATTCAGCTAGGGATGCGGGGGGGTGGGGGGGGGAGCGCGGGGAAGGCCACAGGTTTAAAGATGTAGCTGCCCGGGCTACCCTATATAAAGAGACCTTTTACAGAAAAAGAAATTACTGTGAGCCAGGCAGGCAGCTCGTTGGTATCTGCTGCATTCTCCTTCCGTGTCTACATATTTTTGAATAAAGATTTAATATAGAACTGGGAAATTATACCTATGAGAGTGGAGCTTAATAAACGGTATAAATTGAGTTTGTGTTTAGGTTTTTAATGTAAATTGAACTTTCTAAAAATTTTTGGAATCGCATGAACACTCTTTTGAAATAGTAGAAGCCTCTACTTCTACTAGTAAGGAAAGCAGTAGTTCATTCACTCTTCTGACAAATACTCACTGGTCTACCATGTGTGAGGCACTATCCTAATCCATCAGGAAAGCACCGCTTGTGGAGACAGAGTCTCCACCTCCCGGGCCTCTGTGCGTGCTGTCCCATCTTCCTGAAATGTCCTTTTCTCTTCCCTCCTCTTCACATCCAGTTGGCAAATTCCTAAACACCATTGGAGACCCACGTGAGACCCTGGGCATCTCTCCCTGTGCTGTGTGTTTTATGCAGACCTTTATTGTCACTGCCATTATAGTTCTGTTTTCCTAGACCAGAGGTCCTCAAAATTTTTAAACAGGGGGCCAGTTCACTGTCCCTCAGACCATTGGAGGGCCAGACTATAGTTTAAAAAAAACTATGAACACATTCCTATGCACACTGCACATATCTTATTTTGAAGTAAAAAAAACAAAACGGGAACAAATACAATATTTGTATTTGCATGTGGCCCGCGGGCCGTAGTTTGAGGACCCCTGTCTAGACCGTGAGCCCCTAGAAGGCAAGAATTGGGTTGTAATCACTCCCCTTTCTCTAGTACCTGAGATGGTGTCAGATGTGGAATAGGCGATTAATACGTTTGATGAACAAATAAATGGATGGCCCCTGCCTAACAGAATCAGGGAAGGCTCCGGAGAGCTGAATCTTAAAGGGTTAATTGAGAAATTAGGTGGCATCACAGAAACTATATATTATTCTCTTTTTTTAGAGTCTCACATTTTTAATATTCCCATTGTCCTATTGTGTATTCACATCACACACACAATGACCAGTGGTTCTTAACTAGCAGCAATTTTGCCACCCCCACTCCCACCACCACCACCCCACCCCCGTTCCCGGGATATCAGGCAATGTTTGGAGGCTTTTCATATTTCTTGACTGGAGGGGGGCGGTGGTGGGCGGTGGTGGGCAGGGGGAATGGAGACCAAGGATGCTGCTAAACATCCCACAATGCACAGGGCAGTCTTTCACAACAAAGAATTATCTAGTCCAGAATGTCAATAATGCCGAGGTAGTCTATTTGCACAGCTTTTAACCAGCCCAAATCATCTCATCAGGCAGCAACGGAGGGGGGCGGGGGAGCGGGAGCACTTCCTCGTCCCCGGGAAAGAGGTGGGAGAGCAGAAGTGGTCAGGACCCCAGGACCGCGTTTACCTTCCCTTTTCCCGAGGACTCCTCGCTCAGCACCACACTGCCTACCCATCCTACTCGAGATGCCTGGCCACAGGAAGGGCAGGACGCCAGACCCACAGCGCAAAGGGGCTAAAAGCCTCGCCTGGCTGGGAAATGGACGGACGGACGGGGGGTCTGGTTCCCTAGAGAGAGCGAGGCTTTCTCTTCTTTCAGCGAGAGCTGGGAGCAGCATTTCCTGCCAAACCCAGAGAGAGACTGGTTTCCAGAGACTCAAAGGGAAAGGAAATCCTACTTGCTGTCACCAGCTTTGCATTGTAAAGAGGGAAGGAGGAAACGGAAGAGAGGGAGAGGGTGGGTCCTGGTCTGCCCCACCCCTCGCGCACTGCCCAGCTGCCCAGATCCAGCCCACAGGTCGACAGGTTGCTGCCAAGCAGTCCCAGTGCTCCGGGCTCGGCTCTAAGGACCCACAGAGATCACAGGACCACGCAGTGCTGCCTGGAGCCGCCGAGAGTTCTGAGTAGGTAACTCACGGGCGCCAGGCCAGTGACCGGCCGGGCGGGATGGAGATGGGGAGGGGGTGAGTTTGTCCAACTCTGAGGGAGTGGAATTTGCCTCGTGCTCTTCTGTGTTGTCCTGCTCTGCATCTTCCACCCGGTTAGACCATCCCTACTTCATCCACCCTGTCCCAGGGGGTGTCCTCTGTGTGGGGCCCGTCTGGATCAGCTGGGCCCTCAGAGGAAGGAGGGGAGGGGGGTGGGCAGACCTCTCAGAGCTGGACGAGGGGCCTGCCGCTTGGGCGTGGGCGCTGCACTCCTGTTATCCCACCGAGGGGGTCCGTCTGCCTGTGCGTAAAGTCCAGTGAGACACAACAGGAGTGTGCAGCCAGGAAAGTACAGATTCATTAATGAGATGGCACCATGCCCAGACTCACAGGTAGTTCATGCTCAAACCTGGCTCTCGGCAGGTTTCCAGGGATGATTAGGAGAAAAACCATCAGTCATGGTGAGAATGGAGTTTGGGTCCTGGTCTCTACTGATGGGTCAGTGCTAGGGGAACTGATCATTGCATCTTGTCAGCCTTGAATGTGCCCTGTCCAATTTCACAAGGGTTTATTCTGTATGTGAGCACTGCATCTGGTCCTGATGGGTGAGTCAGGCACTAGGTGAGACCAGTTTGAGTCAAAGCTAAAAATTAAAAAAAAATAAAAGGCCAGATTAAAGAAAATAAGGTCTCTGGGCAGTTACACCAGTGACACGCCGGGTGGGGATTCCAACTCACAGGGAGTGGAATTTGCCTCGAGCCCTTGAGTATTTTCCTGCTCCGCAGCATCCACCTGTGAGGCCATGGCTACTTCATCCACCCTGTCCCAGGGCCGGCCCACAGGGGCCCTGCATGGGCTTGGACGCTGCATTCCTGGTATCAGACTGAAGGGGTCCATTTGCCTGCACGCGTCAAAGCCCAATAAGACACAAACAGGAGTTTGCAGCCAAGAAAGTAAGGATGTATGAAGGAGATGGTGCCATTCACGGAGTCATACATAGCTCATGCTCAAAGACCTGGCTCCCCCTGGCTCCCAGGGGGTGGACTATACAGGTGGGGCAAAAGTAGGTGGTGAGTAAGTGAAACAGAGTTTGTTCTTGTGTTATTATTTAATTATCGTATTACTTTCCATATGAACTATAAGCCTACCTTTGCCCCACCCGAAGCCTACTTTTGCCCCACCCTGTACAGGACAAAAATCCTTAGTCATGGTGACCAATGGAGTTTGGGTCCCGGTCTCCACTGCTTGGTCAGTGCTAGGGTAGGGGGTATTTATCACTGCAGCTGGGCCTGATATCAGCCTTGGAGTTGCTCTGTTCATTATTGAAAGTGATTGTCCTGGGGGATTGTTCCACTTTCCTGTGTCCAAAGCTAAAACACAGCTGAGGCCACGATGTTATGTTTACCTCTGCCTCAGTAGTCACAGACCCAGGACCTTGCTCCTAAGACTCCTAATTGTTAAGCAGAACGCCGTTGTCCTGGTGGCTTAAAGATTCAGCAAAGGAGAGGTTGGTGGGTGAGTCAGGGCACTAGGTGAGGCCAGTTTGAATCAAAGCTAAAAAATAAAACTAAGAGGCCAGATTAAAGAAAATAAGGTTTCTGCCCTAACTCCTGGAAGGCCCTCATGAGGCTCCCTGCCTTGCTGTGCTCTGTGTCCTCAGGAAACATGTTAGCCGTGCACTTTGACCAGCCGGGAGGACCAGAAAACCTCTACCTGAAGGAGGTGGCCAAGCCAAGCCCAGGAGAGGGAGAAGTCCTCCTGAAGGTGGCAGCCAGTGCCCTGAACCGGGCCGACATTCTCCAGGTACTCAGGGGCCAGGGCAGGACTCCGAGCCTTCAATAAACATTCAGACAGATAAGGAGCAACCTAGGGCACTGCCAGTGACGCTCATGGTGAGGTTATGCTGGGGGTGCTGAGTCCTAGAACGATATGCTCTCCTTTGTTTACACAAAATGCAGGGACACAGTATTTGCAAAGCAGAATTCACCCTGAGTTAATCCGTAGTCTGCTCCGGCTTCCAGAGAGGGAGAAGGGATTTACAATTTGTTGAGCAGCGGTGTACGGTAGGCCGTGCTCTACTCATTTACTCCACAGGCAACCCGGTTTACCATCTGTACTCTACAGGTAAAGAAACGGAGGGTCCGAGAGGTTAATTATCCAAGACCACAACACTAACAATCCCGGGAGCTGTGATTAAAATTGAGGTCTTTGTGGCTCCAAAGTCTGCTCTCTTTCCATTTTGAGGGTCCCGGAGTGGGCAGGGAGCAGCACCCAGAATTTGTCTGTCTGCTATTTGAAGAGCTAAACTGGACCAGCTGGATTGGTAGGGGTATTTGAGAAATGTACACCAAAATCACCTGGGGCTTTTTTCCAAAATAAACGTGACTGGCACCCAGGCATGTGTACTCGGAAAAAGCTCCTCGGATGGTTCTGATGCACACTCCTTGTTCAGTCCCTCTGGTCCATAGCCCTGGTCAGAGGCTTCTGAGGATCCCAGTAAATCCTGGCACTTGGTATACGAGAACTGTCACTTAGGTGTCATGGTTTTGTTCCTAGTCCTGCTACTAAACTTACTTTGCAAACTTAGACAAGGCATTTCCCTGCCTAGGCCTCAGTTTCTCCATTTGTAAAACAGGGTTTGGATGAGAGAAAAAGCTAAGGATCTTACTAATGTGACATCCACTGATTATGTGACCTACTGTCTCTTATTTGTATGAAACAATTGATCTCTCCTCTTCTTTCCTACATTAAAAATAAACAACACCTCGCCCTAGCTGGTTTGGCTCAGTGGATAGAGCATCAGCCTGTGTACTGAAGGGTCCCGGGTTTGATTCCAGTCAAGGGCACATGCCTGGGTTGCGGGCTTTATCCCCAGTGGGGGATGTGCAGGAGGCAGCCGATCAATGATTCTTTCTCATCATTGATGTTTCTATCTCTCTTTCCCTTTCCCTTCCTCTCTGAAATCAATAAAGATAAATTAAAAAAAAACAAAAAACACCTCGCCCTAACTGGTTTGGCTCAGTGGATAGAGCGTCGGCCTGCAGACTCAAGGGTCCCAGGTTCAATTCCTGTCAAGGGCATGTACCTTGGTTGCGGGCACATACCCAGTGGGGAGTGTGCAGGAGGCAGCTGAATCGATGTTTCTCTCTCATCGATGTTTCTAATCTCTATCCCTCTCCTTTCCTCTCTGTAAAAAAATCAATATATTTAAAAACAAAAACAAAAGAACCCTGACTTTGTCCTTAATTTTCTATCGGAAAATAAAAGGGGATGGCTATTGGAAGAGGGCAAGGATGGTGACACCGATTTCTGATCATCCTCACCACTTAGTTCGATCCTCTCTCTGCAGAGACAAGGTCAATATGCACCACCCCCAGGAGCCAGCAGCATTTTGGGAATCGAGGCATCTGGACACGTGGCAGAGCTGGGGCCTGGCTGCCAGGGGCACTGGAAGATCGGGGACCCAGCTATGGCTCTGCTGCCTGGCGGGGGTCAGGCTCAATATGCCACTGTCCCTGAAGGGCTCCTCATGCCCATCCCAGCAGGACTGACTCTGCCCCAGGCTGCAGCCATCCCAGAGGCCTGGCTCACCGCCTTCCAGCTGTTACATCTCGTGGGTGAGGAGCTTCCCCCCCACCCCTTCTCCATGCTAACTCCATACAAATGTGTTCAATTCCTTCCTGACTGAGCCACCTCAAAAGCCAATAGTCCTCCAGGGCAGCTTTGTCCTGTCCTGGCCACTGAGCCACACCCAAGCCCAGCATCTCACCCTACTGTATCACCCGTAGGGTCAGGTCCTCATACCATGTTAGCAATGGCTCAATAGTTGAGGCTGAAAATCACGGTTATCAGATAGAAGGCCTGAATAGCACTGGGTGTGCGCATCGTCACACTGTTGGCCCACCACTCACCCCAGCTTCTCAAAGTCATTCTGAGCTTCTCTCTGGGAGCCTTAGTGCAGCAGAAGGAGCCATTCAGTTGACTCTTATTCCTCCCCAGTCCCATTGAGGCCAGCCAAAGGTCATGTGAGGGAGCCCGAGAGGACTCCTTTAGGGAGCTCAGTGTAACTAGGAAGACAAAATGTGCACAAGAATTAGACAACCGTAGAGTTCAGAAGGGTGGCTCTGCCTGTAACTACAAAGCTTGAGATGGGAAAAGTTGGTGTGGGCAAAGGTGGCCAGGGAGGGCTTTCCGGAAGAGAAGGGTGGCTAGAGTTGTGATGGACAGAAGACAGCCACAGTGACCTAAGACAGAGTGTCTTTTACTTTCTTCGAAAGAAAAGTGAGATTGGCTGCTCTGCTCAGACATGAAGGATGACAATTATCACTTGTGAAAAACGAGGCTGGGACTAGATGGTGGTGGCTTTGAATTGCAGGCTGTATGGACGTGATACAAAAGTCAATTGAGAGCCACATTACATTCTGGGGACAACGTGACATAATGAGAACTCCATTTTAGGAGGAGCCCGGTGGCTGGTGGGTAGTGCCTGGGTTAGTGAGATCAGCTGGAGGCCAGTTTCAGACTGCAGAGGGACTGGCCGCTGGAGGTGACAGTGGGAATGGTGGTTACTCTCACTCATTCAGGTATAGGTCAGAGATGTGCGTTTTGATGTTATTTGGGGTAAAACAAATTACGGATGGGGCTGCTAATAACTTGCAAAAAGGTGATTTCCACTTTGACCAGAGGCAATAGGAAAAAAGAACTATCAATATGTTCTCCGAAGAAAGCAAGGCATTTGGCATTTGGTGGTCTTTGGGCCAGGTGATCATGGTAGAAGATGTCTGTGGACAATGGGTAGCAGTTGCAAAGTAAAGAGAATGGTCCCTGTACTTTCTGTCACAGGAAATGTTCAGGCCGGAGACTCCGTGCTAATCCATGCAGGAGCAAGCGGGGTGGGCACAGCTGCCATCCAGCTCGCCCGGATAGCTGGAGCTATTCCTCTGGTCACAATTGGCTCCCAGGACAAGCTTCAAATGGCAGAAAAACTTGGAGCAGCTGCTGGATTCAATTACAAAGAAGAGGATTTTTCTGAAGCAACAATGAAATTCACCAAAGGTAAACAACCGCTTGTGCAGCTCAGCAGGAATATCAGAAGTGATTAAATGAAATCCTCGCCAGCCTCAAGGCCAGTGCTCTAGATCTGTCTGGCCTCCGTTAAATGCACGACAGCTGCCCTGGCCAGGTTCTGGTACTCCAGTGTTGGACCTTTGAAGATAGTCAGGCAATATTTAGGATGAAGTCAGTTTCCATGTGTATCCTTGTGATCTGATTCATACACGTTTTAGAAACTGGATAATCAGGCAGAGTTGGCCCAGAATGACCCAGGACCTCTTATTCCCAACCAGCCAGTACACAGCGAGTTGAGAGGCGACATGGGGCAGAGACCAGTTGGGAGGTGGTCATAGTAGGTAGTGTTGCGAAGGTAGTTTCCTAAATGGATGAGCCTCTGTGTTCCAAAGCCAAATCTGAATATTTTGGGCACTTCCCTTTCCATATGAGTGAAAAAGGAGAGACGACACCAAAGCTACAATTCAAACAACCCAGTACAGAGGCTTCTTAACTCAGGTGTGAACTACCAGCCTGCCCTATAGGCTGGAGTGGACTTCTCCGGTTCTGTTCTCACTCATGCCCAGGTGCCAGTGGGTTTTCTACTTATGTGGGGGCTGGGGAAGATGCCAGAGCATGGTGTTGCCCCATGTCCCTCTTGCTGTGGCTAGAGATCCTAAGAGATGAACGATTTCAAGCACAGATGGCAGAGTTCAGCTACCTAAACTCCACTTACAACAACGTTTCTATAAGCAGTGTTTCCAGTTTCATTTTATAGATTTACCACTTGCGCCTGTATTTATTTATAGCCATACATCCACAAATATACTCTGGGAATATTATTCTGCATCGAGCTTTCTGTGTCTGACTAGCATAAATTGTGTTTCCTGTGGAAGGTGCTGGAGTCAACCTTATTCTAGACTGCATAGGAGGATCCTACTGGGAGAAGAATGTCAACTGCCTGGCTCTTGATGGTCGCTGGGTTCTCTATGGTCTGATGGGGGGAGCTGACGTCAGTGGGCCTCTGTTTTCAAAACTGCTTTTTAAACGAGGTAGTCTGGTCACCAGTCTGCTGAGATCTAGGGACAAAAAGGTGAGTGATGAGCGAAAACTGTTACCCAGAGAAATGTGATTCATTTTCATAACCCAAGCGAAGGAAGATTTGGCACATCTCAAGTTAGGGAGCCTGTGCAGAAACCTGCCCCTCTGTGGATAAACAGTTAACCCAATTTCACAGAAAGAATTAAAATTGGTCAATAAAAGCCTCAACATCTTAGAAAGAGGGTAGAAAACACTTTATATATGAGACCTGCAGAGTCTCTCTAATAAAGCATTGACCATATTAGGAAATACTTTTAATAGTTCCAAGACTGTTTTGCAAGGCAGAACTGTTCTGTTTGCTGAGAAAGCCTCTTAGGTAAGTAACCCTCCACCTCAGCCTGAAATCTCCACGTGCCAGCTTTGGGAATATCTCCCAGCATAAGGTTTCACATCACTGGGGGACAGCAGAGCTGAAACATCCCTTTTGAGCTGAGCCTATGTAAGACCTGTCTGTGGCTGCTTCCCACTTGAAATCTGTATTTTAAAAGTCCTCAGGCGGTCAGTGACACTTATATTTTACTCCAGGCTGCAGCCCTTACCTGGTCACACATTTGGGGGCATGCACATACATGCTGGTAACGGAGGGGTTAGGTACCCCTGTGTGCTTTTGCAAATGGGTACACTTTTCAGAGAGACCACAAAGGCTAAGCAGGATGAGGGGTAGCAAGGTCAGGCTCTGTCCACGCTGATGGTCTCCTTTTCCGTACCTTACTTAGTACAAGCAAATGCTGGTGAAGGCTTTTACGGAGCAAATTGTGCCCCACTTCTCCATGGAGGGCCCCCAACGTCTACTGCCGGTTCTGGACAGAGTCTACCCTGTGGCTGAAATCCAAGAGGCCCACAAGTACATGGAGAGCAATAAGCACATGGGCAAAATCGTCCTGGAGCTGCCGCAGTGAAGGAGGAGGGGGCACTAGAGGACAAGGGTACCTCAGCCCTTCCCAGAGCAAACTGCGTGAGAATTCTCTGAACGCAGGCAAGAGACGGGCTGCTACCCCACTCCCACCTGTAGTCCACTGGGCCTTCCCCGACCTCGTCAACTGATCTGTGTAAAGCTGGTCTAAGGAAATAAAGAGTAAAAAGAAAAAACAAAAACAAACAAAGAGTAAAGGGAGGCCGGCTCACTGTGTGTGGTCGTGCGCACGGACGGAGGCCGATGGGGCGGGGACGAGGTGGGAGAAGGGGTGGGTGGGGCGGGGAGGAGGTGGGAGATGGGATGGGCGGGGAGGAGGTGGGAGATGG